GGATGCCGAGTATGTGCGCTCAGGAGCGTCCTGTATCCTGCGTATAATATCACTGCCTGCAGGCCGCGTTTTCGTCGCGCCGAACAAGCGCAGCGAGGAGACGATAGCCGTGTCGGCGCAGATGGGTATTAACTACGCGCGGAAGGAGTACGAGGGGGAGCCCGACGACGGCTGGCCCGTGAACGTCCAGACTCAGAAATGTCCATGCGATTACATTTTTTGGCTTCGGCGCGTGCGTTCATCTACTGTTCGCATTGCGCGTTACAGCTCACGTGGATAGCAGCGGGCGCGAAGTTTTGATCAATCGTCGTAAAAGAAAGCGGGGCGAAGTGTCAGTTCTGCCTGATCTTGGGCGCCCGAGGACAATTGGAGCTGCGCTTAGCTTCGAGTGATTCTGCGCGCAAGGATCCCCGAGAAGGTGCTGTTACATGGCCAGAATAACTTTGTACCGTTCATCCTATCAATATACGAGTGAGCAAATGACCGTTTTCATACTCCTTCTTATAATTCCAGAACGATAGCTACAGAGAACTGCGGGCACTAGACAAGATACACCGATAGCTGTTCCTACTCGTCACCACTGCTGTCTCCCGTTCTGCTCGGCTCCTTCCAGCACAGGTCACAGGCGCATTTGAACCAGCGCTCGTTGCCGTAGTGCACGGTGATCTGAGCGCCTGCCTGCACATTCTTAATCATCTTCACGAGGACTCGGACGCGAGTGCGCGTCTGCTGCTCCAAAAAGGTGGCATCCGGTTCGCACGAGTGAGAGATGAAGCGTGTAATAGAGCCACAACGCAAGGCGTCAACGTATACGTAGTTATTGCTCACGGATCTGATGTTGTAGAGCAGCGTGTACCCTGTGTTTGTCTTCACGGCTAGTGGTGGCTGCCCCTCCACCACTGCAGGGAGCTCTGACAGCTCTCCACAGTACTCACCTAGTACGTCTCCGATATCGAGATCCGTGGTCGTGTACACGCCGAGACCCACCCGTCCAGTATCGAACAGCTTCAGCGAGCTTAAAGTGCGAGGTGCATTACTGCAGATAGCGCCCAGTTTGCAGTATTGGGGCATGCAGAAGGACGTCGATGCCACGTTCGTGCAGGTATCCCGAAAGCAGTCACCGAAGCAGTTGCACGAGTCGTAGCTCCCAATATCTGGAAATTTCACCCCGTTGCGCTTGCACGTGGTGATCCTCTCGATCTCTGCTGGCCAGGCTACAGTCTTACATAGAGTTCGGCACTGCTTCTGTTCAGGATCCAAATACGTCGACCGCTTGGTGTGCAGGATCTCTAACTCCTTCTTGATCTCGGGGCTGCTCCGCAGCTGATTAAACTTTGCCGCCTTGACGGTCTTCGCGTGGTAAATCATAGAGCCGCTCCTCGTCACCGCACATTTTGCCAGGTTTCTGCGTTTTCTAGACCTTGACACTAGCCACTGCGCCCCTTTCGTCTTCGGCTGGTGGCGGATCTTGGCGCGGGCGTGTCATCGACTGGACGGACACAGCAGAGTCGGCGTCGGAGACAATGCCGCTGCTCTTTTCGGGTGCTACAAGGTCAATTATCTCTCTCACCGCTGACGTTCCAGAGTCCTCCTCACATGGAGAATTATCACCGAAATACCATAGACCCTCCTGCATATAACGCATCCGGAGTAGAGACTTGCGGTAGGGTGCTGGGTGGCACGACGTGGCTTTGATTTGTCTGCATGATCGGGGAGCTGCTTCCGCTGCTCGGTGGCGTTTCCGGCACGATCTCCTCAGGTACATGTTCTCGTTCTCCGCGAACGGCCTCGTATGCCGCTGCGACAGCCACTTGTAGGACACTATTCAGCTCACTGGACCTCGTTGGAGCGGAAAAGGTTCCTGGGACCAACTCAAACGTCCGAACCTTACGCCACTTTGTCTTGACGCGTGACAGGGGGTTGCCGAGGCAGTCTGTCACCTTCTTGACCATCATGTTCGTCGGTATCGGTTCATCAGTGCTTACAGTGACGGGGAAGTCCACGTCGTCACTGCCGTCGACACAGGTGACGACGGCGCGACGATACCCTCGGTGGTCGCCGCAGACAAAGGCACGGGAGAAATACTCTATCGTGTCCCCAGCGTGGAGCGCCTCCGGTGGCAGCTCCGACGCGCTGAGACCCGGCATCGCCCTGTGGTGTGCGCTGGACGGCGCAGGCTGGTCAGGACCCTGGGGCTGCTGGGGCTTTCTGGACAATGAAGGGAGCCACTCAAAGATCCACTGGTGCCACACTTCGTAGTCACATTAGTGTCACAAATGCCAACCATGATGCACGTTGCTTGCTCATCCATCTCCTGTGCAAAGCTGTGCGCAGCCGAGCACCAGGTTGCCCTGTCCGTGCGTATTGTGGGTGATGGGCTACGGTGTTATTCAGATTCTAACCTGTGTTTGTTATATTCCCTCCTTTGTTGTGAAGACCTTAGGATCAGGGACTGGGCACTCTTCCTAAAACGATGTGAGCTCTTTAATAGTCAAAATTGTCCAAACCGGCCTATTCGACCAATCTGAAGTTTTGAGACTCATCCCAAAAAACTGGAAAAAGGCCCCTCGCTTGATAGCGATGACCATTATAGGTCCTGGGTTTGCACCCCGCGTGCTACACACACGGTCTATAAACCGCAGGCATGCTTGCTGCGCTCGCTTTAGGTACTCTACGCGCTTCGAGTTTGGCCGTAGCCCTTAGTTGCGGAGTCTTGCCATAAATTTCCCTTCCACCACCTCGTCGAAATGGTCAGCGATTGCGTCAGATCTTTATTTAGTCTGTGCGCCGTGCCGTATCGTAGCGATATGATGCCACTCAAGGAGTATTATTAGTGTGTAATCATATAAACAATGCATGTTGTGTGTAAAACAAAAAGCGAGTAGCAGCAACTCGCAAACCATTTCTCAACCCATCTTCGAGTCTGTAGGCATTAACGGGGAAAACAGAGCTCGAGGTACCCAAAATTAGAAATAGGGATAATGTGGTGTTCCCAAATGTATTTTGCGTTTTAAGCATCGACTTGCCAGGTTGGACTTTGTTGCCTGCGTAATTGAGCTACCACAATCGTATTACAATATACCTATCAGCACAGCTACACTTTTTGCACGTCCGATATGGCAGTGTTTATTACAAAAGCTCTCCATTGGCGAAGCTTCCCCACAGCCATCACTAAATCCTACTAGTCACTACTCTTCTTCTAAGTAAGGTTTCATTACAGTCACATAGCTGTCCTAACGACCATGTATATACTAGCCACTACTCCAAAGCAGGACATTTATTTTTACCTTTTTTCTGGCTGCATGAATTCCATTCATTTATTTAATCAGTTTGGGAGGTAGACTACTCCATAAAGTGCACTACGCTTTGACTCGATGCTGCAGCAGCGTTGTATACCAGACCTGTTCTCTGCGTAATGGTCGCCTCTCATCCACAGGCACCTTCGTAGGTTTAGAGAGCACTAGAGCGGTCTGTTGCTCGCTCTCCTGATATTTTGTGTATTTTACGAGTCTATGAGGGAATGCAGCATTTGCTACGTAGTTGATGAGCACTTTACGTCATTGGAGTGGTCAGACCATTCTTCTTAAGAGGTAAATGGATGAACGGGATAATGTAATCTACCAGTGCTGGTGCCGATGCTGTGGTTGACATACGAATCATACTGACAAACACCTTTAGCCCTTAACATTACCCTATGAACAAACACCATTTGCAAAACCAAAATCTAAATGGAAAGCTCCAGATTGCCTACAGACGCACAGACAAAGCGCTTTATAAATGCTGGCTTGTCCACACAGTGCAAGAGCGTTCCGCCGAAAAATCTAGGAAGCTCATTTATAGGGCACTATTAGAGGCTCATGGCTACTTGTAGTTCAGCGAAAGTCAACACTACACGGTTAAGTTTTCATGTGTCCGCGTACGATTTGCTGGTCTAGATCGCATTCATAAACGCCTCAATTGTCGCCTCACTTAGGGTGATCGATGTATCACTCTACTTTAAGCCACCGAATATGGCTCCGTGATATACGTCTCCGCTGTTATCCTTTTGAGCGAGGCATATTGCATTCTCTTGGCCCAGCTAACGACATTGCAATATAATGAGTCTACGTACAGCGAGACCTTTGGATCATTGTTTATCTCTATTTCTAATTTTGGGTACCTCTCCATAGTTTTTCCCGCAGTAATAAATTATCGTAAATTTTCTGGATTTAAGATCCAGAGAATTAGGAGGCGAGTCATTTTGACCTACTCTAAATTCTTATATTCAGATCCCAAACTAACGTTTTCAGCTCGAACTTAAATAAAAAACTTCAGCACTTGATACGCCTGTTACAAAATATCTACACTGGATTGTCGTGCTCAATTTAGTGTCTTTTTTTTAAATTTGTATAACCTGTCATTTCAGCTTGTATCTGACACCGCAACTTTACTTTAAACAAGAAGAATGGTAAATATATGACAGGTGAATGTTGCCAAGCGTACTGTAACATCACTGTAAATTACGACGAACCGAAGTAATTTAATCCGCGTGAATGTTGTCCGAACAGACTTCATCTAACACTGAGCGCATCAGATGCGTACAGCATACCATGCCCCAATATCCTTCTTGTGACGACTCGCACAGTGTGATCGCGTATTTACTATGGTAAACTGGACTGCAGAAGTAGTTGACAGTATTGTGCGTCAATAAGGAACGCATGGGAACTAATATCCTTGTAAGAATAAGACGGTACCATGGCTTCAAGAGCCCCCACCTCGACGTATTATGGCGCATACGACCAGCCAATTAGAAAAGAGCTACTACGACGTTTTGTCACGTGTCTGTTGCAGGTATGTAACATACTGTGACCAACCGCCTACTCCAGTGATACCCAGTGCAGGTGCAAAATGCGCGTAATATCAGGTAACTCGTAATCAATTTTTAGATCTGCTCTCTCTCTCAATGTGCCAGATACCATTCTCCAATTTTCTCAGTAGGAGCTCCATTCACGATACCAACCATGCGTGTGCTCGCCACCTTCGTCATGGCGATGGTCCTTCTTCTCGCTGCCAGCAGCGCTGTTCTGACAGCGACGACCCCGGACAAGTTGGCGAAGCTAATGTCTACAGACTTGATCGAGAATCGTCAGCGTGATGGCGTTCGCTTCCTGCGAAATCAAGAAGGTGCTGAATTGGACGACGAAGAGCGAATCAGTATCAAGAATATTGGGAACTTTTTGAAGAGGATTTTCTCAAAAGAGGCCAGGAAGAAACACTATCTGAATAAGTTCAAGCAAGCCGATATAGAGAGCAATCTCCCAAACCTCGCGAAAAAAGGTGGCCCCAACAGACTGAACGACGCTCTACAAAAACTAAAAAAGACTGGCATCTCCGAAGAGCAGCTTAAGGAGCTCGAATCTGCGGCGAAAGGCTATTCAAAGGAGTGGTTTCGCAAATTTGGCAAGCTCGATCCTGTCAGAGCCTGAAGCAAGCGTCTTAAAGAGAAGGTTTTTAAAGAGAAGGTTGCTTCTACCCGATAGTTTTAACTGCCATTACCATCCAAACGGACGATTGAGGTTTTCTTGTTGTACAGTTGATCCCATACTCGCCTTTTGGTAAGGCTTTTCTTTTTATCTATGCAGGTTGGTATTTGGATAGAACAGAATCTGCCCAAACCAAAATTTATTAATTCTCTAAAAATCAAAATACTGTGCTATCATTATCTATTTCTTCATCAAATTTTTCTTACCGGTATTTACATATACTCCAATGGCGTTTCAGCAGTCTTTTTTTTTCTTCGCTTAAAGCTCGCTTCACTTCAGGATCTGACGCTCCGCCACGAGGCTGCGGTAGTACAATGTTCCACACCGCGGACAGGGATCGTTTATTAATCATGGGGAAATGCTACGTGAAAAACAAACTGGTACATGTATTTCCAGCTACGCCGAAGACGAACTAGTTTGCTATCTTATCCGCAATTTGTAGTCTGCCGTGGGGATATACTTAGCTAGCCGAGCGGCGCCGCTACGCGGCGGTAGTTTTAGTTGCGCCCTACTCGGTAAGGCCTTTTTAGCCCCCCGCTTCGCTGCGGCGGGACTATTTTACTAATAAATAAGCCTAAACGGATTTTTCATTTTTATTACATGTAATCGGATGGGCTACTAAGCACGTTGTTTATCAGTATCTACAATTAAAGGTAGAAAATGTCGTTAGTTAGAAGTAAAACAAATTAAATAGCCATGTTGATAAAACAGATTTGTTAAATACTGAGCTCCAAGTAAGTTGCGCAATATTTCTACAAAATTGTGAGCGTCCACCATGTTGTTTGAGACACTATCACGGAAATACTAAGCTCCAAGAGCCTCCACCATGTTGTTTGCGACACTATTACGGAAATACTGAGCTCCGAGTAGTTTGCGCAATATTTATACAAATTCTGAGCCTCCTCCATGTTGTTTGCAACACTATTACGAAACAATGATTATTCTGGTCAAATGTGATGATAAGCAGCTACGAAATAACTAAGTAGCTTACTAAATATAAATGTATTCTGTTTTTACAACATAGAATCAAACGCTATGTAAGATACTGTATGCAAGTGTTGTTGTTGTTTTGTTGTTGTTGAATTAGAGCTATATACGACGATCTTGTCGGCAATTTCGCTCTTCTCAACATACCGGTAAAATGAGGCGATACACGTTACTGTACTACGCTCAGGGGTTAATAGCATCGGCACTTTGGGCAATACTTATGATCCTGATACAGTTTAAAAAGCGGTGAAACCAATATCCGATGATTCTGATACGCTGACGCTGGCGTATCAGTAACGTATCAATATCATATCAATAATGTGATATTCAGATGAGTCGCTACTTGCTGTCTACCTCAGTTTGCTTTTGCAAGCTCCGGTACTCTCTCCAGTTCGCTTTCATCAGGCAAAGCATCTCTGCCCGGTCCTCATCCAAACGGGTACGCAAATCGTTCACAACGTACCCACTTAAGCTAAAGAAGCGCTCCTGAATTGCAGTTGACAGATCCTTGCTAGGACGGCAATTCCAGGAAACAGGAGTTGTCCAGACTCTTTAAACCATGCTAGTATATCCACGTTCCGATACAAGTCTAGTAAATTGTACTTGCCTGTTTGGGATGTTGAACACGGCCACGAGACATTCAAGCTCTTCCATTCGTTCCACGCGTTCATCGCTTGGGCGGATAGGTCAGCCTGGAAATCAGACATTTCCACGTTTTGAGCCGGGGCGTCGATCTCTAGTAAGGCACCCAGTGCAGTGTCAATGAGATCAGAGCTGCTTTGAGAAATCCCCGACGGCAAAGGCTCCTCACCCTTACACTCCTCGTCTGCTGCTTGCCTTGCTAACAATTTCTGATAAATGAGAGCATGCTCAAATTGAAGTTCGGTCTCGGCTTGTGCAAGAACTGATGAATCACTGACAATACTATGTGCTTTTCCTTTAATCCGCGGATCCAGAAGTAAAGCTTTTATGTCGTTGAGATCCTCAACTGGAAACCGAAGAGCGAGTTGCTCACGAAGTCGGTCGCGACAACGTTTGCCATCCCAAGAAAACTCGGATATAGACTTTGGTGCTCGCGCGGTGTTGAACAATGTCCCATTGCCTTTGGCCCCAGGCGAATCGAGAAACTAAACACATTAACTGTAAGGGATTCACCAGCCAAAACCAACATTTGGCGAAAAAGTAGGACGTACGCAGCTTGCCACGCCCTGCTTTTGCACCTCGCCCAGACTAAACTGTGCGAGTTGGTTAGTCAGCCCTTCCATCTCGGTAATAAGCGTCCAATCATCCTTGGAAATGCTTGACCATACAGCCGTCTCACTGTCTAGCGCTTCTTCAAAGTACTGAGCAAAGGCATAGTGATTTAGTACACTGCGACGCATTAGCGTTACAGCATATCCAACTCGTGTCTTCGAATCAACTTCAATATTGACAGCTGGAAGGCTAACGGCCTTCTTTATCTGCTTGAGTTTAGTGATTCTTTGAGGAGTGTTGAAAAACGTTGCCAAATCACGAAGCTTCTGAATAACTTTCAGACCATTTCGGAACTCCCCTCCCGGTGTTATGATACTCTGACCACGATTTCGTGTGTTTTCTTTCAGACCGAGAGCATACAACAGACACAAACTTAATAAGTGCATTAAACAATCCACTTGATCCGTACTATTGAAATGGTCGGATACGTTTCGAGCGCTATCCGTCGTATCACTTACTGTGAATCGAACGTACCGGTCCACATCAATGTTGTAGCGGTCTTGCATTCGTGCTTTAATAAGATCAGCAACAGTACCAGCAGCGTGGCCGTGCGGGTTTGGCATCGCCAAGAGCGAAAGTGTGACCAAGCGCCACTCTGAATCCACGAATACGACAGTCACACCAATTATATTCATGTTCGATGCATTGGTCCACAGATCGTGCAACATCGTGATAAATGGCTGCTCTTTTGCTTTTGAAAACTCTCGGCTCAGTGTATCAGACACCAATTTGATAAGCAAGTGCCATTCTGCTTTAGCAAATTCGTAAAAAGTATCTCGAGCAGAGGTCAATAACGCAGGTTGGTGCGCCAACGCCGAAAAAGTTGCAAAAGCTCAGGGTTTTGGAGTACCGTGTGAGGCAACCCAGAAGAAAGTAGCCATCTAGTCGACAAAATCTTCATTTGGTCAGCATTAATGGCAATTGCCTCGTGAATTGTGCGCTGCTTCTTTTGGTTTGGCTGTTTTCCCTGTTCACCCGAAGCTCCACTATCATATGTCTGAATACGTTTAGCCACATCACTGGTCTTTCTCCGCTTAGTCTCCAATGTGAATGAGTGCTCCTTGTGAGTCCCCCACATGTGTTTTCTAGCGTTGGAAGATGTAGTTGGTCGCATTAGAAAGTTCCTCCACGTTGATGCGGTTGGTCGGAGCTTTTGTGTTCATCACAGCAGACTATACAAATGTGCGTGTACGGTCTTGTGGGCTCTTTTGATCCTGGTATGGGCTGGGATAGCTTGTGGATGAATCTCCATACCGGATTGAACATGTTCTGGCAACAATGCTTGACTACCCGAGGTATACCATGCTCGTCCACACCCTCTTCATCCGTCTGTGCCGTTGCTGAGGCAGTCTGCGTCGTTCCTGTGGGGTTTTCTGCCATCGTTTGCGGCGTCTTTGTTGTAAGCTGTCGGGGGTTGCAGATCTAAATACAAAACCAGAAACTGACTGGATACGTGAGTATAGTATCGTCAAAGATCAATATATTTGTGGAGAAGGATCAGTGATCTTGATCCCAATGATCGAGCGGTATCACGTGATACTGATACGAGTATCATGCGAATACGGTATCCATGGTATCAGGTATATCACCATTTGCTATTAACCCCTGCCCTTGACCCTGTCGAAAGTTGATCAAATCCCTTGACCCTGACGAAAGCTGATCAAATCTGAAGTGACTTGAAATTGTTTTCATGCACAAGTCCTTCTACATACATTTCTAAATATACAGATAATTGTATTATCTTTACTACTCTACATAATCTACGCGTTCGTCGTTAAGGTGTCTGCACTTCCTCCAAGTTCCACAGGGACAGGGAGATCTAGTGGCTCAGGAGCTCGACGTTGCCGTTTCTTCGCTCGGGACTTTGACATATCCTCAATTCGGTTGACATAGCGTTTCGACAGAGTTTGGATTATGCCGACAAATGATGGTAGAGAAGGGTGTGGAGCTGTTAGCTCCGCGTTTATCTCGCGGTTAAAACGCTCTAAAGGATTACCAGTACGACTTACCATAGCAGCATCCACCTCATGAGCATTCCAAACACTAGGTGTGTATGTCTTCAGCCACGTTGTACGAAAATACGACCAAAACCGCTTCCACAACACATCCGAATACCGAATGCTCTTGGCCACACACGTGTCTCTTATCTTGCCTTTCACAAAGTTGATGCCTTCGTCTTTGATCTTCTCGTGCGGAATGACAGTCAGCATATCCAGACAGCCCTTACTCATTGCAATGAGGACCTCACTTTCAGGGAGGCTTAGTGCCTTCATCTTCCTTCGGCAGGCCTGCTTAAAATGAAGGTAGCAGCCGACGATATCTGCATCTGGAAATTGAACTTGTGCTGCCTTTTGCAATCCAACCTCAAAGTCGCAGACCACCATGCTCGGCTCGATTTTGTCGTCTGCAGCGACATTGACAGCCTCCATCAAATGCCAGTACGTATCTTGGGTCTTTGACGTGCACAATGTATAAAATACAGGGACGAATAGGTCCGTTGCATTATCAAAAACCATCATTACCACGCACTGGTAGAATGGGCGCGGGACGCACCTGAATGTCCCGTCGAGAAACAACGTAGTCTGTTTGTACTTCAGTAGCTTGATCAGATCAGGATGAGCCCAACTGACTAAGCGCTCTAGTGTTGTTCCATTCATATAGGACCTGTAAAATTGAAAGAATGGCTGTGCGGTCCCCGATACCAGTGACAGCGGCGGAACCTCCACAATACCATGCAAATCTGCACCAAAGTGAGCACGTCTCGCTCGGTGAACTCGCTGGAGGACTTGCTCACGTGTAAGTCCGAATTGCACCAGTGATACTTCCTCAGGGTAGAA